GATCATAACCTGAGCAGAAGTTGGACACTTAATTGAGCCACCCAGGTGCCCCTACACATCTTGCTTTCTTTTCTTCTTCTTCTTCTTCTTCTGCTGCTGCTGCTGCTTCTTCTTAACATTTTATTTATCAGAGAGAGAGAGAGAGAGAGAGAGAGAGAGAGAGAGGATGGGTGGGGGAGGGGCAGAGAGAGAGGGAGACACAGCATCCAAAGCGGGCTCCAGGCTGAGTGAGCTGTCAGCACAGAGCCTGATGGGGGGTTCGAACTCATGAGCTGAGAGATAATGACCTGAGCCTCAGTCAGACACTCAATCGCTCAACTGATTGAACCACCCAGACACCTCACACATCATGCTTTCTAAGCTCTTATGAAAATAAGCTCATGACTTAAGATTGTTTTCACTCCCCAGAGTGACAAATTCAGATTTTGTACTTATTATTGAAGATTGAGTTTGTATTTAATTTTTAGTTTTTATGACGAATGCTGTAAGTACTTGTTGTGATTTTATTGTTACTCTGTGATGCCCTTAGAAGAAATTTTTAGCAATGAGAATATACATTTTTGGGGTTCCACACACAGGTGGCCATGTTGCTTTCAAAAAGGGTTATTAATTTATAATGTCCCTAGTGGTGTTTTCTACTTCTATTTTATTTTGTTTTTATCCTTTGTCATATATTTTAGTACCTTATATTTTTGTAAATTATAACAGGCTTTGCACATTATAGTAACCCATTGTTCTGTGTAGATCATTTATTCTGTTTTCCCCTTCTTATTTTAGTTTCTCTACTTTTCATTTATATCAGTTTTAAATGTAAAATTTTGGATCTCTCAATTTTTTTCTTTATGTTATTTTCCTGTTGCTTTGAATTTAAGAACTTGACATTTTCCACAGGCCTGACATACACATTGAAATTTTATTTTCTGTAAGCTTATTTTTATTTACTATTATATTATGAATGACTTCCATGGAAGAATGACCCAAAGTACCTTTGGGGAATCTTTTCTCTTGCCTTTAATAGCACTATCAAAATTGTCTTCTGAAACCAGTGCCTTTTAGGCAGGTTATGAAATGTTGCTGTGTATATTTGAGATAGGCTCATAAAATATAGTATCCAGAAGGCACTTTGTATTTTATTCTGTGAATAATGTCTTTCATGTAATTTTACTCAGTTTATTTTCAGAGGTCTCAATATATATTTGAGTCTTTTGCAGTTTTTACTGTAATTCATAATAGTGAATTTTAATTGCTAGAGTTTTCAATGAGAAACTTTATATTCTGGAAAATGAAATTTTATACGTATCTCTCACATAAGATACTCTTATTTTTTTTAAAGATTTTTTTTTAATGTTTATTTATTTTTGAAGGAGAGAGAGACAGAGCGTGAGTGGGGGAGGGGCAGAGAGAGAGGAATACACAGAATCCAAAGCAGGCACCAGGATCTGAGCTTTCAGCACAGAGCCCGACATGGTGCTTAAACTCACAGACTGTGAGATCATGACCTGAGCTAAAGTCAGATGCCCAATCAACTGAGCCATCCAGGTGACCCAAGATACTTAAAAAAATTTTTTTTAATGTTTTATTTATTTCTGAGAGAGAGAGAGAGAGAGAGAGAGAGACAGTGTGAGCCGGGGCGGGGGAGGGGGGTGGGGGTGGTCAGAGAGAGAGGGAGACACAGAATCTGAAACAGGCTCCAGGCTCTGAGCTGGCAGTTAGCACAGATCCCGATGCGGAGCTTGAACCCATGAACTGTGAGATCATGACCTGAGCTGAAGTCGGACGCTTAACCGACTGAGCCACCCAGGCACCCCTCCAAGATACTTTTAAATATACCACCTTTGGAACTTAAAGAAGTCCTCGAGGAGGAAGTAACCAGAAATTAGGTCATTTTCAGACTGAGGTTAAGTGATGTCACAACTTGAACCAATGAAAACACTCCAGCACTAGGGGGAAATAGAGCAAACTTCTAAAATCTCCCAATATAGGATCTTATGGAGGGACACCTTCTTAGCTCACTCATCACAGGCCTGGTCAACCAGGAAGCTGGGTACCACATCACTGGAAGTTTTCAGTAGTGGCTTCGATTATTTCTTTTAAGTGGAAATCCTGTAATTTCATAATGGGGGCTAATGGCTACGTAGAATGGACTTTGCAGATTTTTAAATAATAAACTTTGTCAGAGAACATTTATTTCCATACTTTGTATAATAGCAATGTAATACATTTTTAAATGCATATGTGATTTTTTTGAAAACAAAATAAAACATAGACCTTTCAGTATCTTAAAAAGAATCTAACATGCTTACACAGAAACTATTCCATTTCTCCAAGATCCCCAAAATACCTAAACATTTCCTGGAAGAAATGACCATGTTCTGATATTTCAGTAGGCATTGGTCAGATCTAAAGATGATTTCCTGCTTTATTTCCCTACTTTTTTTTTTCTTTTAGCTGTCATTTTCTTTTCTTTATCTTTGCTTAAAAGCAAATATTTTTTGGCTTTTGTAAATGCCACTGCAATTCAGACGGATGCTGCTCTTGCTCTTTGTTGGACACCCAGAACATTACATTTTAAGTTGAGAATCGGTCTTAACACAAAGATTTTTGGGTGAATAAACTGGACCAAAAGTAGCAGTATGATGACCAAGCAGCAAGTCATTATGTTTGGTCATTCCCAGCTCTATCTCTAAACGGTTGTTACACCATTTCCTTTAAACCACGTATGCCCTTTTGTCATCTTGCCGTCCTTGTTAAGCTTCCCTATTGGTCAGAATCCCAAACTTTCAAAGCAGATTTGGGGTTTTAAAGTTCTGGTCACGAATCCCACTGTGTGTGTGCGTTTTCCCCAAACATCCAAGGAACTGTATGTGACAGCAGCTGGACCCAATTCTGACACCATCTACCCAGAGATAGCATCAGATTCCAAGGTGAAGGGCTTAGTGCTAGGAGACAACCCTGCCACCCTCCCTCCCCCACTTCGGCCACCAATCAAATCCAGATTGTCACCTGCGCTTCTGATGCATTGGCTAACAGAGAAGTGGTTCCCATGATCTCTGCTTTGATTCAGTTAATTTGCTAGAGCGGCTCACAGAACTCAGGGGAACATTTTACTTACTGGATTACCAGTTTATTATGAAAAGCATATAATTCAGGAACAGCCAGATGGAAGAGATACATAGGGCAACGATTAGGGAAAGGGCTTGGAGCTTAAATGCCATCTCTGAGATCCCCACTGCTACTGAATCTTCATGTGTTCACCAACTAGAAGCTCTCTGAACCTTGTCTTTTTGTGTTTTTATGGAGGTTTCATTACATAGGCACAACCGATTAAGTCACTGGATTTTGGGTGCCTGGGTGGCTCAGTCCGTTAAGCGTCGGACTCTTGATTTTGGCTCAGGTCATAGATCTCACAGTTTGTGAGATCGAGCTCCATGTCAGGCTGTACACTGACAGCATGGAGCCTGCTTGGGATTCTCTCCCTCTCTCTGTCTCTCCCCAGCCCCCACCCCGCTCTGCCACTCTCCGCCACTCATGCTCTCTCTTTCAAAATAAATAAGTAAACTTTAAAAAATCAATCAGTCAGTCAATCACGCCTCCCCTCCCCAAGGTCATGGAGGTGAGACTGAACATTCCTACTCTGTAATCACACCGTTGGTTTCACTGGCATCAGGCCCGCGTCCTTAGGTGCTTTCCCAAAGTCTCCTCATTAACCTAAACGCAGGTGTGGTCAAAAGGGGCTTGGTATACATATCAAGATGCCTTTATTGCTGTAATCACTTAGGAAATTCCAAGGGTTTTAGGTGCTCTGTGCCAGAAATAGTTTGAAGACCAAGCATATATATTTCTCATTATAAATCACAATAGCAGGCCATTTTGCTCAAATGCTCAAATACTTTGGTTTTTGCTAAATTAACTTTTATTTTATTGTTGCAGTATAAATCACACCATAAAGCTTTGAGATGGCTTAGCATGTAAGGGAAGTTTATTACAGTAATTATGAGCATTACTGTATTTTTGCATTTTTTAGTGGCTTTTAAAACTCACACCTCTGTCAGGACTTGAATGAAATCTATTGATGATTCTGTAATCAAGAATATTACATTTCTCTTCAGTCTTGGCCCCATTGAGGGAGAGATTAAACACTGGATACCCAGAGCTATTTGACCAAATTAAGACCGTATATTCTTTCCATTCAGAACAACTACATTTGCTAACTTACAGCTGTCAATGATATTAGCACATTAATTGAAAAGTTATTTTCTAACAAAATCAGAAAGTAAATCAACTTTAAATTGAGTTAAGACAGAGGCGGTATCTCTACTGATGGGAAGAAGTTCAGAATTATGATTAATAGAAAAGTAGCCAAAATGTGGGGTCAGATAGGGGCATCTGGGTGGCTCAGTCAGTTAAGCATCCGACTTCTGCTCAGGTCACAATCTTAGGGTTTGTGAGTTTCAGCCCCACATTGGACTCTCTGCCATCGACACAGAGCCTACTTCTGGCCCTCTGTCTGTCTCTCCTCTGTGCTTGCTCTCTCTCTTTCAAAAATAAAACATTAAAATAATTTTTTTAATGAGGCATCAAATAGATTTAATGTAAATATATTTGCACAGTTTTATAGAAGCATTTTAGCATAAGGGAACCTGTCTTGTCTTACTGAATTCCTGAATAGTGTAGTTGATTTTTTTTTAATTTAAGAAAGAGAGCATGAGTGGGAGAGAGGGGCAGAGGGAGAGACAGAATCTTAAGCAGACTCAACACTCAATGTGGCACCCAGTGTGGGGCATGATCCCATGAGCCTGGATCATGACTTGAGCTGAAACCAAGAGTTGGACACTCAACTGACTCAGCCACCCAGGCGCCCCCTGAATAGTGCAATAGATTCTAACATTTACTTATTTTTGAGAGACAGAGAGAGACAGAGCATAAGCAGCAGGGAAGGGTAGAGATAGAGGGAGATACAGAATCTGAAGCAGGCTCCAGGTTCTGAGCTGTCAGCACAGAGCCTGACGTGGGGCTTGAACCCACGAACCACGAAGATCATGACCTGAGCCAAAGTCAGATGCTTAACCAACTGAGCTACCCAGGCACCCCCTGAATAGTGTAGTAGATTCTAAATGGCAGCTCTGAGTATTGTGTGATCTTGGGTTTGGTGGCCAGCTCTGTCCTCTCCTTTCAGCAGTTACTTCCCCTGTATCACAAGATGGTTCTTGGAGACTCATGCCCTTCTCCAAGATTCCATTCTAGTCTTTGAATGTGATAAACCAGGTAGAGGAGCCACTGAGTGCTCCTCTGATTTTACACAAGTTTCTTCCAGTCATTGTTTCTTAAACCAAATCAGCATTATCTTCTCAAAGTTGTCATGCTTTAAAATTTTTTCAATGTTCTTTAAGGAGATGCAAAAAAAAAGTGTTTATTTTCTTTTTCAACAGCCCCCCTCCACATTGTTAATGTGAATACTTTAACATTTATCCCTGTTCTAACTATGTATTTTTTAAGGTTAAAATGTATGTTGTTGGTGGAATGTAAACTACTCATTTTGTTTTGATTTTAATTATTAGCTTACTATATAAACTTACAAATACTCAGATACTTGCATATCTCTGATTAGCACAGAATTCTGACAGACTGGTTTTGCCTGCTGTATTTTTGGCTCTGTGTGCCTTGTTGAGGAATATTTGGGGCATTATCACATTGAGATGCATCCAAAGTGACGTCTCCTGGTAAATAGTTAGAAACAATTAGCACCTTATAAGACCTGCTCACTGATTTCTGGTAACTTTGGTTTTTAATTTTCATTTCAGGCTTACTGCACAATCAGGGTAATTAATGCAGCCTCAAACCAGGTTGCCACCTGTGTACAGTTTTGCATTTGAGATCACATTGACCTCTGTTGTCTCATTTGATCTTCACCAAGGCCTGGTGAGATGAGTGACCCCCAGAATAGCCTTCATCTGATGCCTGAATAAACTACCACTGAGAAGACTAGGGGACTTGTCCAAGGTCATGTGCACGGAGAGGCCAGGTCTTGAGAGCTCAGACTTGCAGTTTCCCATCGGAGCATTCGTGCTGTCAGTCCACAAAGCACCCGTAGTCATTGTGACCCCCACGCATAGGTTTTTGGAATCTAGGTAAATCTTGAGAAAATCATAGTTGGCACCAGTGAAGGTGAATAGAAAAGGGGCGGGGTGCTAGATATGTCCTAGTTGTACAAAGTGTAGTGAGGCATAATGGATAAACACACGTTAGTGTTTTCTAAGAGCACTTACAGAGTAAGTGTTCGATAACATGTATAACTGCACTTTTCTATTTTTGAAACCCTGGTTCCATTATTTTTATGTGAATATTTTATTCTGTGGCCTTGGATGCTTGCACTCTTAAGTTAAAAATAAGACAAGGATTTAGATAAAGGGAGATGGGCTGTTGTAGGATTAGTCCCAGGTCACTTTACCTGCATTTATGAAGGCTTTTCAGCATTTAAGCTATTCCCTGTTACAAAGACTTACTAATGCCCAAAAAAGGCATTATAAAATCTTTAGCTTCAAAATATGTTGGCCTAACTTTATGAAATATATACGTATCTATGGGATCAGTCATTTAATGATTTATCAGCACTTGGTAAGTGTGTTACTTTTTTGTGTGTGTGAGCCACATGTACTTAACAGTCTGATTATTTTCATTAAACCATTCTCTGTGAAGGAGTCATTGTTAATAAAAATCTAATGTAATTAATTTATTTCTTTGCATTTTTTACCCTAGCTTTATTGAGGTATAATTGAGAAATAAAATTGTAAGATATTTAAAGCAAACCTCATGATGATTTGATATACGTATATATTTTGAAAGATTCCCCCCATTTAGTTAAGTAACACATCCATTACCTCATATATTTACCTTTTTTTCTTTTTCTTAATGAGAACATTTAAATTCTTCTCTCTCAGCAAATTTCAATTATAGTATAGTGTTATAACCTATAGTCACCATGTTATTCACTAGATCCGTAGACCTTCTTTATCTTATGTAATCACATTTATTTTAGAGTCAGTTTCTGAAGCTACAGTTTATAAGTTAACCATTCTCAAAATCTTTTATCTATAAACAAATACCAATTGGCCTTCCCAGGGTATGTAGATCACTGTGCCTGGCCCTGTGTAGATGAGAGGAAAGGAAGTCTGGTTATGATACTGGACTCTGGACTCAGGTCCTCAGACCTAACAATGGTGGAAACGAGACTGGACCCAAAATTAAAAGCACAGGCAAAACTTTATTGGGGCAACAGCCTCAGTTGAAGGGAGACACAGTCACAACAAAGGTATCAGACTGGCTCCCCTAACAACAACCAGGGGAAGTTTTAAAGGAGTGCAGGCAGGAAAGGAGCTATGTTTAAGCATGTAGGGGTGGGAATACAGGGATTTGGGCTGGCAGGTGCAGTTGACACACCATGCTTCTTTATTCATATGTTTCATTTGAATGTTATGTCTCCACCTCTGGGTGTGATTTTTAGCATGGTGATGAGGTAAAGGTAACTCTTGATCACTCCATGGTCATTCTGCACAGCCCTGAGTTAGTGGTTAAGCTCATACTGGTCTGGGTGGCTTGGGCCACCAGAGCTTTTAAACAGACAGTCATTACTGCTCGAGGGATGCTATGCCCATTTGGTCTGAGCTAAGAGATATGCTGGAAAGAAGAGCTTAAGGAAGAATATGGGACAGAGGTTGATGGGTTCAAGAAGGTGAGCAGTAAAGGTCAAGTCTTAGGAGCCAGCTGGTGACAATTACTTTGCTTGCTTTCAGAATTTTACTTGATTTTACAAGATGCTTAGCACACATTCCCATCAAACTTATAAATTACGTACTTTTTTTTAGATTTTTAAATTTGAGTATTGTTAACACGCAATGTTACATTGCTTTCAGGTGTACAACATAGTGATTGAACTTCTCTGTACGTTATACTAGGCTCACCACAAGCGGACCTACCAACTGTCACCATATAATGAATCACGTAGCTATTTTAAGAAGCTGTTTTCTGATCCACTTTCCATTTTCAAACTATGTTATTTACATTATTACTAAACGTAGGTACCTCTGATTTTGAAGTTTTCTGCAAGTATAAATACCCCCAAATCCTGAAGAATACTTTCTGTTTTGAATTCAGTTTTATTTCTTTCGGAGGGTTATTCAGTATCAGTATTTCTGTCACCAGTGGGAAAATGAAGAAAGGGAAGAATGACGATTTTTTTTCCCTTCTAGGATATCAATCTGCTGTTGAACTGAGCCAGATTAGAAGTAAAAAAAAATCTTTCTTTTCATTAAATGTTAATCATGTTCCCATTGTTCAAAAAGTCACAGCTAGCTCTCTTCTCTTCTAGTAGAAAAGAAAAAATCAAAGACTAGGAAAAAGGAAATGAGTTTACCGTGGTGTAAATGTAAATATATTTCTCTCTTCTTAGGAGAGAGCTATGTGTGTGGCTCAATAGAGCCCTTCAAGAAACTGGAGTATACCAAGAACGTGAACCCCAACTGGTCGGTGAATGTCAAGACCACCTCGGCTTCCCGGGCAGTGTCCTCACTGGCCGCTGCCAAAGGGAGCCCTTCAGAGGTGCGGGAGAACAAGGATTTCATTCGGCCCAAGCTGGTCACCATCATCAGAAGTGGGGTGAAGCCACGGAAGGCTGTCAGGATTCTGCTGAACAAGAAAACCGCACATTCCTTTGAGCAGGTGCTCACTGACATAACTGATGCCATCAAGCTGGACTCGGGAGTGGTGAAACGCCTCTACACCCTGGACGGGAAACAGGTAAGAGCACGGTTGTGGTATAACCTTGACTTTACGGGCAAGAACCAGGGAATTGGGGGATTGATGTGCCATGTTGGGGGGAGGGGATCTGAAACATGCGTTTTACTGAAGTGGAGTGAGTTGGGTCCTTTAGTCAACAAATACATGGCTGTTGGCCTCAAACCAGACTGAGGAGAGAGGTAGACAGGATTAACCATAGGAATAAAGTAAAATATCTGTCTTTGAAGCTTAAATGATTACTCAACAGATTTCAGCCTTTTCAGTTATTAATTGCTTAACATAAAGGTGCTGTTCAGCCATCTGTTTGTAATTTTTTCCATGTAGTAATGTCTTATAGCCTTACGTACGACTGAGATGTAAACTCTGACCATTAGCAAAAAATCTAATTTCCTTTCTTTGGCTGAAATAATACTAATGATACTTTATGTCCCAGTAATGTTCACTAGTGAGATCTCTTTAAGTTTTATAGATTTTTAAGTACATCTTAAAGGAATGAAATATTTCCATCCGAGTGGCTTTAAGAGGCATATTTCTAGAACAGTATACATCTTGTATTGAAAATATAATTTCAGAGTCAACACTGAAGAGGGGGGGTGTTTCTTTAGCTATGGAATGGACACCATTTGACTTGGATGAGGGGAAATGTAAATTTGAGTTACTCATGCGAACTTAAAGGGAAGTCTTGTGTGGACTTTTGTAAAGGTTTGATAGAATCTGGATAGTGTCCTGAATATATATATATGTGTGTGTGTGTGTATATATATATGTGTGTGTGTGTATATGCATATATATGTATGTGTATATATGTATGTATATATATGTGTGTATGTATATATATGTGTATATGTATATTACCACTGATACACACACACACACACACACACACACACACAGAGTGTGATTCAGAGTTTATCAATGTCTTTTGTTTAAGATTATAATTTTTAATACACTCTCTTTGCCTGAAATTTAGTTGTTAATGTGGACTAGTCCAGGTGATTTTTAAAAATTGTTTTAAGCGGTAATTTGAGTGATTTGTGTGTAGAGTACATATTAAAAATCAAAGCTACATTCATAAATGAAAAGGTTAATCTTAAAAAAAATAAAAGGTCAATCTTTATTAGATAGAACACTTGTACAAGTTCTTGAAGGCTAACACACATTCAAATTTTATGAATTAGAAATAGATGCAATTACTAGAAAGAGTGTTAGTCATGAAAGAATTCCTCCCCCAGGGAGCCATTCATATGCTCCAAATTATAAAATTCATTAGGAAAGAAGGAATATCTGCCAGTT